ATATATATTAACTTTTATTGATTTAATTACAGCACGAAAAGTTTTTTCTTAACACTAATCCTTTATGTTTACAACAAATCATGTTAAAATTTACATCATTAGTATTCATTTCTATTTTTTATTTCAGATTCATGTCCGAGTTACAAATTTAACCTCATTTTATACACTATTATACAGTCATGATGTTGTTGGAGCACAAGAAAGATAAAAGACAAAAAGAATATTTACTGATAACTTCAAAATAAGGATTTACAATAAATTACAATAACCTACTCCATTAGGCTATTTATACACACAAATTAAATCTAAAATATATCTTCGACAAAGATATAAGAAGATCTAAGATTTATATCTTCTAACAAAGATATAAACAATCTAAAAGATATTCCTAAATATAAACTAATATCTAATTAAATCTAAATTAATTCTAACACTATCTCTTAATTTATATTTACTCAAAACTGACAACACCAATTTCATCTCTTAAACCAAGAAATTGATCAGTTTTGATAGCCTTTGTCAGAACATCTGCCAGCTGCTTCTGAGTGCTACAGTACACAACTTCTATTATTCCATTCTGAACTTGATTCCTCAGAAAATAATATTTGGTCTCAATATGCTTGCTTCTCCCATGCAACACTGGATTCTTGGCAAGATTGATTGCAGACTTGTTATCAATCATCAACTTCAGAGGTTTATTCACCTCAATCTTCAGATCTTTCAGCAAGTTTAGAATCCACACAACTTGACATGCAGTCAGTGCACCTGCAATATATTCAGCTTCACAGGTTGACAGAGCAACAACAGGTTGCTTCTTGGAAAACCAAGAAATAGGACCTCCCAGAAATTTGAATAAGTACCCAGAAGTACTTCTTCTGTCAACTCTATCTCCACACCAATCAGAATCAGAATAACTCAGAAGTTCTGATTCGATCTTTCTTCCAGACGGAAATAACACTCCATATTTTAGCGTTCCCTTCACATACCTCAGAATCCTGACTGCAGCTTGGTAATGGGACCACTTTGGTTTGCTCATAAATCTGCTAACCATTCCAACTGCATAGCAAATATCAGGTCTGGTATTACACAAATACCTTAGAGAACCAACCATCTGTTTGAAAGTTGTAGCATCCACATCCTCTCCATCAGAATTAGAATCCAACTTTTGATTCGTATCAGCATGTGTGATAGCAACCTTGCAATTTTCTAGCTCAAATCTCTTCAGAAGCTCTAGTTCATATTTCATCTGATGTAAAATGATTCCTTTCTCAGAGTATATAAATTACATCCCTAGAAAGAAACTCATTTTTCTAAGATCTGTCATCTCAAACGCATTTATCAAAACTTTCTTGAACTCAGCTATCTCTTGTTCAAAACTTCATGTGAGTAATATGTCATCAACATACAAACAGACCAGAATCATATTACCTTATGAAGTATGCTGAACATAAACACCATACTCAATCTCACACTTCTGAAACCCTTGTTCCTTGAAAAACGAATCAATTTTCAAGTTCCAAGCTCTCGGCGCTTGCTTCAATCCATACAATGCTTTGTGTAATTTGAACACCATCCCTTTCTGATTCTTTTTCTCAAATCCAGGAGGTTGTGAAACATACACCTCTTCTTGTAATGGACCATTCAGAAATGTAGATTTTACATCTAAATGCATCAGAGGCCAATTCCTATTAGCAGCTATTGCAATCACTAGTCTGATTGTTTCATGTCTCGCTACAAGTGCAAACACTTCAAAGTAATCCAGCCCAGGCTACTGTAGGAAGCCTCTTGCTACTAATCTCGCTTTGTGTTTTCCAATTAATCCATCTGGCTTTAGCTTCTGCTTGAAAACCCATCTGACGCTGATGGCTTTCTTGCCTTTTGGAAGTTCTGTCAGCTTCCAAGTCTTGTTTCTCTCTATAGCATCAAGTTCTTCTTTCATGGCCTGTAACCAAACTTGGTGCTTAAGAGCCTCTTTCGTACTTACGGGTTCAGAGTCTACTAACATTGCACACTGAATAACTTCTCCTTCAGAGTTTACTTCAGTGTCTAGCAACATGTCAAACTTTGCAAATCTTCTTGGGATGCTTCTGACTCTTTGTTGCCTCTGAACTGGACCTTCAGAACTTTCCCCTTCAGAAGATCTTTCTTCAGAGTTTTGACTTTCTCCAGAACCTTGATTGTCTTCAGAGTCTAGAAAATTCTCAGGGTATGAATCATCATCAGAGTCAAAGCCACTACCTTCAGAAATACCATCTTCAAAAGTTGGATCACCTCTGCCTTCAGAAGTTCCACTTTCAGAATCATGATCATCGCCAAAGGCTGAATTTCCTTCAGAAGCTCCTCCTTCAGAAGTTCCACTTTCAGAATCATGATTTCTACCAGAAACATGATCATCTTTAGAAGCATTTCCTCCAGAACCTACGTCTTTAGAGTTTTCCCTTCTAGAAGCATTATCACCACCAAATTTTGGATCATCATCAAAATCTGGATCAGAATCAGATTCACCATCTAACTCACCTTCAGAGTTTCCAGAGTTATCATCTTCTGACTCTTCTTCAAAAGCATAATCTCCTTCAGAATCACCTTCGGATTCTGACTTGTCTTCAACTTCATAGTCATCTTCTGACTCTAACTCGTCTTCAGAAACCTCAGATTCTGACTCATCTTCAAAATCTTCAGCGCCATCTTCTGATTCTGACTCAGAGCCATATTCTGATTCTGAATCATACAAAATCACTCCTTCAGAATATTTAGAGTCATATTCTTCTTCCCTTCAGAATCAGAAAATGACAATTTCACTGGTTCCTCATCAGATTCATAAGCCATAAATAGCACAAGTTCATCATCTGAATCTCCCCTAGCTACATTTGCTTCTTCTGACTTCCTTTCTTTGTTTGACCAACAATCTTTGACATAATGACCAAAGTTCCTGCAACAGTAACACTGAACATTCTTCTTGTCAGATTTCTCCTTTCCCCTCTGGACATTCTTCTGCCTATCAGAGTTTGAAGCTTCTGACTTTTGGCCATCATTAGTTTTCTTCCTAGCTTCTGACCAAGTATACTTCTGATGCTTCTTACCAGAAGTTACTTTCAGAGCCTGCTGCTCTACTCCCCTCTCAGAAGTTCTCGCAGTCATACGCAACTCATGCGCCTCTAGACTACTTTGCATCTCTTCAACTCTCATGGTGCTCAGATCTTTGGAATATTCAATTACTACCACAATGTAATCAAACTGAGAAGTTAAAGATCTCAAGATTTTCTCAATGATTACTTGTTCAAAAAAGGTTTCCCCACATGCTTTCATCTCATTAGTGATTAGAATCACTCTAGAGATGTATTCAGAAACCTTCTTGTTGTCCTTCATGTTGAGATTCTCATATTGCTTTCTGAGAGACTGAAGCTTCACCTTCCTCACTGATGCGTCACCACCGTAACATCTGACCAGTGTGTCCCACGCAGCCTTTGTTGTTTCAGAATCATCAATCTTCTCAAACACATTCACATCCACACATTGATGGATGTAGAACAACACTTTTTGATCTTTCTTCCTCAGCACCTTATGTGTTATCTTCTAGGCCTCTGTTGCGTCTACTTCTAACAGATTATAGCCATCAGTGACAAGATCTAACACATCTTGAGAACCAAATAACACGCGCATCTGGATCTTTCAACGATTCCAGTTTTTACCATCAAATACTGGAAGCGTGGAATGAATATCGCCATCGTTTCCGTTCATCTTCTACCATATGCAATTTACGCAGAATTTCCCAGAATCAGAATATTGTAATTCTTAATCACAATACTTCTTTTCCCGTGGATTTCAAACCGAAACTCTAGATACCAATTGTTGGAGCACAAAGAAGATAAAAGGAAAAAGAAATATTTACTGATAGCTTCAAAATAAGGATTTACAATGAATTACAATAACCTATTTCACTAGGCTATTTATACACACAAATTAAATCTAAAATATATCTTCTACAAAGATATAAGAAGATCTAAGATTTATATCTTCTAACAAAGATATAAACAATCTAAAAGATATTTCTAAATATAAACTAATATCTAATTAAATCTAAATTAATTCTAACAGATGTGTCCTATGACTAAAAGAGTGACTAATGGAATGTGTTCACGAGTCGTATTCAGCTTATTTCTATGAAGATAACTTATATATTAAGTGTTTATGCTATACGTTGCTAAAGCATAAGCACTAATAAACCCAACATTGAACCGCTTAATAAGAACTTTCATTAGATTGGTTTCAACTACATGAAATATCTTTCTCTAAATGAATAGTATGCGTAAGGTTTAGGGTCCACTACTCTTTTACCATTTGATTTATGATTTGAATATTAAATTTACTCATAAATTTATATATTTAATTTTGTTCCGGCACTTACTTTTATTTTATCATGTATCGCACAATTCACAATAAGATTCTATTCAGTTTGAATCTCTAAGGTATATATATTCTCTTTTTTGTTTTTGTTTATATAATCAAGGATCAAAAACCTTCTCTCCAAATGACTTCTTATTATCAACTTCAACTCTACAAATGAGTTATAACTGACTTTGAAACCAATATTCTGAAGTCATTTTATATAGTTATGGGTTATATTTATGTTATCATAAGTTTCCGTATTACTTAGATATTATCATGATTGCTTTCCTAATTTCCCAATTTATTTAGGATTCAGAGTACTGTAACCCTATAATATTAGTTTTTATCTTTGTGGTTTGTTTATGTCTTGCCTAAAGTCAGATGACTATATCTTTGTCTTGTTGCTAGATACAAATTGTTTGTTACTTGTCCAAGTGACTCTTTTCATATTGTGCTTTCTTCATTGTATCAATTCCACGATCTCTAATCGAAAGCTCTACGGTCATTGGTCTCAAAACACACTGACATTTGTGTATTGAGTATTTGAGTTAGATCTATTCCATTTCATATAACATGTTAACATTTAATTTGCAACCCATGACACCCAAAACTCATTAGACACTGATGTGTGATTTTGAATATATAGGCAAAGATGAATCAGTGATGGAAGTAGACGAGGCTTTACAATCATCGAAATTAGAACTACGTCGTCTTGGCGAAAGTGATGAGAACTTCCTCAATGGATCTGCCAATGGGCTTCCAACATAGTCAGGAATAACTGGTGGGAACAGAGAATGTAATCTATTACGGATCAAATTCGAGGCTGAGGGGCAATATATCACTTTAAGGCAGAGCCTGCCAGAAGAAGTATCTACAGGTGTAAACCTATTTATCCAACGCCGCAGGACACTCCCGTGGTGCCAAATTGAACCATTTATCCCTCTGTCTCCCACTTGGTAAGGGCGAAGAAGACGAACACGGTGATAAATATGATTTCTCAACATCACCATAAGAATTACGCAAAGACCCATGAAGTACCCTCGATTCAAGTATTATATGAAGACATTTCGCGAAAAATTCAGTGATTATCTGTTCCATCTTTGTAGTGTGGGAGTGTGCATTCCCATGAGACAACACCATTGTCTTTTAGTCTTTAGGTATTAATGTTATCAGCAATACTCAACCACTAACAAAACATTAACAGAAACAAATAAGGTTCAGAACATGAATGTGTTTAGCTACAACATTGCAGTTCAAAATTCCTAGGTTAAACGAAGAATAAGATTTAGAACATAAAAAAACATGACAGAAACATTAAAGTAATCGACAATCATGTTAACAATAAGGGTTTTTGATTAATTGATAAGTAATTGTTGGAATAATAGTGGAACTGAAAATTTTGAATAAAAGAGTAGAAATTGTTTGAGAGAAGAAAGTTAACCTTTTTCCGTGTGAGAATTAGGTGATTAGGGTTTTATCTTAGTTGTAAGTTTAAATCTATTTGAATTTTTCTTTTATATAACTTCTTGTAAAAATTATTTTTTAAAATTTATTAAAGGCCCATCCTCTGAATGATCAGGGTTTTATAACTGCGTGTAATTCACTTGCAGGTACATGTTGTATTTCTCCATGCATTTGTCATTCTCGGCAACCTTTAGCAAATTTGATGCAATCTTTTAGCATTGAAGGTCAATAGACGCCTGAACGCACCAAAAGCCATTTCATTTTTGATACTGCTTGATGTGCACCACATGCTCCACTATGCACACTTGACAGTGCCACGTATGCCTCACTTTCTCCAAGACATTTTAACAAAACTCCTTCAGCAGTTTTCTTAAATAATTCATTCTCTACCAAAACGTAATTGAGAGCGTGATACTTGATCTTACGATCTGTTGACCCTGTGGGGATGCCCAGATAGTCAGCTAATGGCTTTTGCCAGTCATTCTCTTGTCCATTGTCAATGGTTAAAATTTGAAACTTTTCGACATCTATAGCCCCTAACTTTACAATCAACAAATCTGAAGGGGATAACAAAGTTGCTCGAACTTTATCTCTTACTTGGGTAAATTCTTCATTTTGATCTCTCTTGTATCCTGAGGCTTCTTGTGCTAGGTCATTAGCCTTTTCGTTCTCTCTTCGAGGTATGTGTCGAATACTTACTTGCTCAAATTGTTTTAACAATCTGATGGTAATCACAAAATACATGATTAAATTTTCTTTAACACATTTGTACTCCTTTGATACTTGTTTAATCACTAATTCAGAGTCTCCCATAATTTCAACGTTCCTTGCCCTCAAATCTAGCAGTAGTTCAAGTCCTGTTATTAAAGACTCGTATTCTGCTTCATTATTTGTGCACATACCGTCGATTTTATACTTGAACTCTGCTGGAATTCCACTGGGAGAAATTATAATTCCTTATATTCCAACTCCATTCTTATGGCTAGAACCATCAAAGTATAATTTCCATGGCACTAAATCTACATAATTTTAAGGTATACCAACCATTGAATGGTCGACCAAAAAATCTGCCGCTACTTGTCATTTCATTGCTTTTAAGGGCGTGTAAGTCAGAGAATACTCTGTTAATGCTAAAGTCCATACAAAAGATGTCACAAAAGATGTAAGGTGTACGAAAGATGCCACAAAAGCATATAAAATTACAACACAAAAAAACTCAGGAAAAAATGGTACAAATCGGTCTATAACACAATTCATTAGCAAGATAAAGGATTTAGTCTCCTAATCTGGTAATTAGAATAAAAACTAATATTTTTCAACTTAACCACCAATAAAATTAAAGTTTTATCCTTTCTGATAACGCCTGCAAATGCTCTTCTTTATTATGAAAAATACGAATATTAAGCTCTTTTCAAATAACCTAAATCACATAGAGAGAGACAAGTAATATTAAAAAGTTATCGTACATTCTTCAAAAAATCACCTAGTCCACCAAACTGTAAGAGATGATCCAATAATTTTCTTTGAAATGTCGTTGAGAAACCTAACCAATTTGATATAACAAACCACGTTCTACCAAAAAATCACATTTTACAAACAAATAATCTATGTCTTCATCCATGTCACAATTCGCCACACGTCTTTGATCGTTCATAGCAAGAATATGCCGCCTAGCCAAATTATTCTTCATCGGAATACAATTAAAAAACAATTGTCATACAAAATAGAAACCTTAAGCGACAAAGTATTCAACCACAAAATTTGAGAATTAGCCTGATTGTTGTTGCCGTCAACTTCAGACAAATTTTTATAAGCACTACTGATTGATTGTGTAGCAAGAAGATGAATGTAAAATCAAACCCAACAATCTTCTACGTACACATGCAAAACAATTGAGGTTAAGCACTTAATACACTCTCCCATTAACTCAACCTCACACGCGAGCAACCTCCTACGTTATTTCCACGCCTCACCATTCTCTCCCGCCCTAACTTGTTCATCTCTGCGACTGACACATCTTATTCACTGCTAAATCAAACTACCTACTAAATCTTATCTTCAAAAGAATACTTTTAAGTCAAAAATCTTTCCAAATCAAAGAAGAAATTCTATCTCCTATCTTTTAATCTAATGTTATCGAAGAACCACTCTCTATCAACCAAATCAATACCATCCCTTATGTTTTTTCAAATTCTTTCATTATATAAATTATTCTTATTATCATACAATTTTAATACAATTTAATTCATACGATACTTATGTAGCATGATTCATTTTATATATGTTACTACATATCACACTATTTAGATATATCGATTTTAAATTTCTTTAGTTAAGTAATTTTTTTATAGGTTAAAGCGTATATATTTTATTTAAAACCTACACAAAAATGTAAGTGACATGTATACAAACACAAATACCATGATGAATTCAATTTGTAAGTTTTATTTTTCAATGCCAATTTGAATGTCTCTTTTTATTCTGGTTGTTCTTTATACATGGCGACCATGCGAATAATCTATACATTTGTTTAATATGATTAATAAAATTATAGATCAAATAAATTATATAACTTTCATCATTTATCTTCTATTATTTAAAAACTTTTCTATTATAAGTTTACAATCCTATCTCTTTTATACTTTGCTTATTTTTCAATTTGATTATTTATATTAACTTAATTATAAGTTTTAAACAATTTTTATTTTGAATAGTCAAATATTCAAATAATGCTACAAATCTTATCAATAAAATAAAGTAAAATAATACTTTAAAAAACATAAATATCATTGATGAAAGAGATATTATTTTATTCATCAAGTTTATTAAGATGGCTACAAATAAGATCATACCCCCTCATTGTTTTAAAAGTAATTTAATGTCTATATACTTGATTTTAATTATTTAACTATCAAATGTAAATAATATTAGCTAAAACTTAATTACCTAAATACTTTGAGGATGATTTTAGAAGAGTTGTTCATCCAGTGTTATGTAGTTTTTGTTTCTTTTGGGTTTCGGTATTCCCTCTTATCAAATATATATATATATATATATATATATATATATATATATATATATATATATATATATATATATATATATATATATATATATATATATATATATATATATATATATATATATATATATATATATATATATATATATATATATATATATATATATATATATATATATATATATATATATATATATATATATATATATATATATATATATATATATATATATATATATATATATATATATATAATTAAAATATTATCACATTTCAATAAATTCTTTGATTTTTTTTCATCTTTTAAAATTATTTTTAATTTTTAATATCTTTAACTATTTCTTCACCTTCATGAAAAAATTGAGACAACGCAATTAGGAATAAAAATTCATAGAACGAATGCAAATTTAAATCTTTTAAAATGACAAAAAAAAGTTGAAAAAAATGTATTACTAATTTTCTAGTTATATTTAGTTTTTTTAAATATTTCAAAAAAAAAAAATTTATAAGATACAAACTATTAGCAAAATATTGTTAATTTTTGCATAAGGAAAACAAAAAATATTTTAAAAAAAACTTTTATTAAATATATTTTAAATTATTTCTTTAAACCACAAAATTTTTAAATATTGATTAAATAGAATTTTCACATGTGCATGGTTATGTATGTACTATATTTGTGGCTTACTAACCAATCAAATTTTCATCTTCGTGTAACCATTAGACTTTTTCAATGGATTACTTTAGGTTTAGTTGAGCAGTTGATTCTTAAGAGACGGTGTATTTTTTGGTATATTTACAACTTCATAGCGGTATTATTGGACTAAAAAAAATCACATTAAAAGAATATATTCTATGTAATTAATAACTATATCACTTTTAAAAAATAGAAATATAAATTTATTATATATTTTCTTTAAAATTTGACTCAACATGCAAAAAAAAAATTATATATAAATTTTTAATGTATAAAGTATTTAGTTTGTGAACTCAAACTATAACACAAATGGTATAACACAAATGGATAGTCCTATCTTAATGAATTAGTAAAGGATAGATATAAATATTTAATAAATATTATATAGTTATAGTCAAGAAATTTATATAAAAATATATATGAATTAATAAATAAAAAAATTCAATAATAATTGTCATATAAATATTAATTTAATTTATTAAATTGTAGTAGTTGTCAAGATATACGTAGATTTGATAATTGCTATTAAATAAAATATATTATGGAAAAACAAGTTTGATCCGTCAGGCATATTGCTTATAATTTTAATTTTACAATTTCTATTTACAAACATTATAAAATAAAATATATTATACACCAAAAAAACATATTGATTTAATAACAAATTAAAATTGATAATAATTTGATTAGATTAAAATTGATAATAATTTGATTAGATTTAATGAATTGAATAATATTATCTTTGTTATAGTAATCTAGAAGTTATTAAATATATGATCTGCCTGTAATTTTTAAATTCTTTTGTATTGTAAATTTATAGA